CGGTTTGGACTCCACTAGCATCTCTTTTCTAAGTTTGACCATCTCTTTGTCCTTTCAATTTTATTTCTTAAACTCATCAATCAATCATTTTATTTATGTGATAGGTCTGCATTTAAAATAAATATTTACTACAAATTAAAAGTATCTTATATTATTAGATATGTTATTAGAAAACATGTTTTAGTTAAGTAGTTATTGATACTTCAAATGATGATATAAAACCTTGATATGTTATTAAATCAATCTTTTTATTTATGTGATGTCCTGCATTTAAAATGAATATTTACCACAAATTAAAGGTATCTTATATTATTAGATTTGTTATTAGAAAACATGTTTTACTTAAGTAGTTATTGATACTTCAAATGATGATATAAAACCTTGATAAAAATGCACTTTTAAATACTAATCACAGACACAACAAATTAAACAAGATCAAAGGATTTATGTCATAATCTAAACTATCGATCTAAATAAAGAAGATGAAAATATAAAGGAAATAATAGAGAGACATTTGAAGGAAAAAATACCTAAAATAAAAAGAATATATTTTGATTGTTCTTGCTTCAATTCTCTTTGGAAAAAGATTAAAGAGACAGAAAAAGACAAGGATTTGAAAAGATGTTATGTTTTATGTAAAAAAAAAAGGTGTTTTCTTTTTTTTATCAAAAGAAAAACACTTTCTTGCAATGAAAGTTACTCTTGACCATAATAAAGTTACATTTTTTGTTTTTACCGAAATTAACTTTCTTTTAATGAACTTTTGTATAGTTACCAAATATAAAAAAACAAAAAAAATGGTTTTCAAAAATTTATTTTTCTAGAAACAAATAGGCATCAAATAATACACAACGCCAAACACTCCTTAGGCCTTGGGGTGGCGTGAAATGAAATCGAAGCGTCAATACACCGAGAGAAACTCCCACACGCATGTAAAGCACGTGTCAACTGTCAGTCTGGACAAACACTGAAATCCCCACACTTTGACGAGGCCCCGAAATTATAAAATCAAAAACAAAAACCAAACAATACATTTTGAGAAAAGAAAATTTAAATTTGATAAAAAATCGAATGGCTAATCTTCCTCAATCTCTATCGATGAACGCACCGTTCGGAGTCCCAAGCGCGTCTAATCCAGCCTCCGCCGCAGTAGCCGGAGCTCCGGCTAACAAAGACCGGAAGATGGCATCAGCAGAGCACTTGGTTCTTGACCTAAGCAGTCCTGATCTTCGTGAAAACGCCCTTCTTGAACTCTCTAAGGTAACAACATCATTACCAAGTAGATGGCTTAATTTTTGTTTCTTAGGGAAGAAATTGAGAATTGAAAAATTAGGATTTTGTTTTGAAACCCTCATAATTATGAAAAGAGAATTTAGTGTCTTTAATTGTTTTTATTTAAGAAAAAATAGTTAATTTCATGAGAATTATTCTTTTGTAAAACAGCTATAATAAATTACTATGGACAGTTGAATAGGAAGGAATTGTATGATTATTGGCTTAAAACAGATCCGTCACTAGCTCGGCCCCACCCATGATTTGTGGTTTTTACTCCATTTTATGCAGCTGAGGAAGAAAAAGGCCACCTCTGAACTAGTGAATCTTAGAATTCAAGGCATATTCAAACTTTTCATGCAATAGAACATTTTATAACTAAACAGGATATGAGTTTTTCTTTTTAAATTGGAGGCCCGTTATCGTTGGATGCTACCTGATAGTTTGTTTTGCATGCCAAGGAACCTTTTCCTTGGCTGGCTGCATACATGTGAGACGGCAAAGTTTACCATTTTCTTTGTACACCAGTTCTTTTCTATATATATATATATATATATATATATATTTATATGCTTAAACAAGAAATAGATGCACATACACAGCTGGAGGTGGTCCATGTGTAATAGCTTCATTTAAACTTGTTGTGTGCGGATCTTACCATTTTTTCTCCTTGTGTGGTTATTCCATTTAGTTGTTGAACATTCAAGTGCTGCCATTATAAACTAGTGTCTGCCTTTGCTTTCATTTTTAGAACAAGGATTTATTTCAAGAATTGGCTCCTTTCGTGTGGAATTCTTTTGGTACTATTGCTGCACTCATACAGGTATGCCTAATAAACTTGTGTTTGTTTTTGTTTTCATTTATAGAAGAGAGAATTATTTCAAGATTTGGCTCCATTGTTGTGGAATTCTTTTGGTACTATTGCTGCACTGTTACAGGTATGCCATTTGAAGTCGATATTATCAGATCCTTGCTTAATTATTCTCCCTCTTCATTCATGTTGAATTATGATATATTTTAGCTTGTAGAATTTCCTTCACAACTTCAAATCTTCATTTTTTTCAATTGGAAGTATAGAAGATCTTGCTATTTTCCCATGATTTTATTGCATTATGCTGATGAAAAATATCATAAACATGTATCATATCGAGGATAGGAAGTGCGTGAACTAGAATCTTCTGTGTTGTAAGGATACAGCAATTGCTTCTCTATGATCTGTTGAAACTGGGCAAAATGGTTGATGTTTTATTGCATACAATTCATAATTGAGTTAATATTTATTGCTTGTTTATTTTTGGAGTGCTTTTGTTTTGTTTTTTGTTTTTTAGTTTAGCTTGTCAGTTGGACCTATGCGACTGGTTCGCGTGGTTTTTTGTTTTAATTTTGGTTGGAGCTCATTAAGCAAAATAAACACCACTGGTGTTATTTAGTAGCGCTCGTGTCCTTGACACATTGCTCTTTTGTTTTCCAGAAATTGTACATAGTTTAAAAATTTTCAACACTTGAAGTGCTTGGTGTATGTTATTTCCATGATTTTCAACCTTTTCTGTTATTTGCAGGAGATTGTTTCAATATACCCTGTCTTGTCACCACCTAACTTAAGTCCTGCACAATCAAATCGAGTTTGTAATGCTCTAGCTCTTCTTCAGGTCAGAATATATTTTTTTTTAGTTCCTTAGGTTGCTGTTATGTATACTTCTACTTTAGTTTTTTCAACTTTGCTTCTTTCCCCTTATTGGTAATTTATTCTGTGTATATATTGTCATATATTTCCCATTTAGAGATTATGATTTGAGATATTGAAACACTTCTAGGTATTCAAATGAAGTAGTATCATATATTCACATTCTCAATGCTTTTGGTGTTGTGGGGGTTAAATTTTCAATTTATGAATGATTAAAGACTTAATATTCTGGCTTCTTGCACGAATCTCACTTTTATTATTTTGGGAAATATTGTGTATGCTTGACATTCAACAGATTCAAATATCACTTTCCATGTGGCTATCTATTACGATAATTATTGCCAACTTGCTGACATGTTTGAGCATAGAGGAGATGATGTAGGTGTTTGTATTTAAATGCATCTATTAGAAGGGTGTCAATGTAGAAATTATTTTTCAAAGCATTTCTATAAATGGTTAAATTATTTGTGGAATTTTATGTGTTGTAGTGTTTTCCCAGAGAACTAAAGTATTTATTGACCGTATTTGAGAAAAATGAAAACTCAAAACTAAAAATAAGTAGGGAAGAAAAGGAATATCCGGACATTTTTTTTTTTCCTTTTTGTGTCTGATTTCATGATATGCTGCTTGTTTCTGTTTTTTGCCTGTTAATCACTTGGACAAATGTTGAAGTGTGTACCTGGACATTCTAAGTCGTACCTTTTGTGGTTCTTTTTATTCTATTTAACCTGGACATTCTAAGTCGTTGTACCTTTTGTGGTTCTTTTTATTCTATTTCCATCTCTTAGTTATTTCTAATGCTTATAATCTATTTTATATTTTCTTACAGTGTGTAGCTTCACATCCAGACACAAGAATGTTGTTCCTCAATGGTAACATTCTTGATTTCGTTTACTCAATTGAATAACATTTGAGAGGAAAAATCTATTATTCTTGTTTGGATTGTGGCTCAAATTTGAGATAACAATAAATAAAGTGTGAAGTTTTCAATTTTCACAAATGTGTGTCTCAACTTCAATTTTTATCAATTTAGTTGCCCATCTGTTAATAATGGCACAATCAAGTGCCTCAATGAATGTCTGTTAGCAGATTTGTTGACATATCCATTAAATGATGGCATGGACACCAAAAAATTCCAAAAAAAAAAAGGTCTTTATCACTCTAGGTATGCCATGACACCAATTAACCCAAGAAACACAAATTCACAACCCCAATTTTATGCTCACTCACAGCATTAACCATTATTCTTGTAAGATTTTGGTGTCCATGTCACCATTTAAAAAAAAAACCAAGCAAATTCCTAACAGATGTCCACTGAGGCACTTAATTGTACCTTTATCCATAGTTGATCAATTTGATTGATAAAAATTGAAGTTGAGACACCCAATTGTGAAAATAAAAATTGTATGGACAGTTAATTTATATTTATCTCCTCTGATTTTGTTTTATGGGAAGAATAATTTTTTCACTACCTCATGGAGATGATAAATTCCGATTAATGTGTTGTATTCTTCCAAGTGACTGCTTTTTTTTCCACTGCAGCTCATATACCTTTATATCTATACCCTTTCCTGAATACAACTAGCAAATCAAGGCCTTTTGAGTACCTGAGGCTCACTAGTTTAGGTGTCATTGGTGCCCTAGTGAAGGTACTTCATCCTTTCTGATATCCTATGTCTCAAACTCATGATTTTTATATTCTTTATTATTTTAAAGTTCAATGTATGAACCTTTTTGTAGTTAACCATCATAGCTTCACAGAACAATATGTGTGTGGGTTGGTTTCTCATAAAGAATGATATATGTATGGGCGTGTGCATTTATCCACATCATTCTATCTATGTATCACTTGGCACAAGCAGGTCAACATTTATTCAAGCAAACAAACGTTATATTATTTAGTCAACTTTGTTGCATTGATCTCTACATTGAAGCTCATATTTTTGTTGCTTTTGGTATCAAGTAGTTTGAAATTTTGATCTTATTTCTTCTCTGTTCTTTACCAGGTTGATGACACAGAAGTTATTAGTTTCCTTCTTTCAACTGAGATTATTCCACTGTGTCTGCGTACTATGGAGATGGGAAGTGAATTGTCAAAAACAGTTGAGTGTTGTTATTTTACATCCTTCTGTTTTTCCAGATATGTCAAAAAACTTATTCTGATTCTGTTTACTTTCACCATTTATGCCTTTGTTTGGATGTCCATTTGGTGGACAACTGACCCACTGGAGACATGTGATGATAATGAATCTATTCAGTTTCTTAAAGAAAAACTTTAGTGCTATAGAAAATGTCTTTCAAATATCTAAGTTCATTGTATTAAAAATAGAGTTAGTATAGAGTTATGCGTAGAATTTCCTGGTTAGTTTTAATTGTAGAGTTAATTGAACTTCTATCAGGACTTTGGTGTAGGAAAAATTTGAGATTTTTGTTATACAAAGGATTTGTGGTGAGCTAGGGTTTGCTATTCATGGAATTAGAGTAGAATAAAGCTTGTTTAGGAAGCAATAAGGAGAAATTAGGCTGTGAACAGTGATTCGGTTACTGCAGCAGCGATGCTTTTAAGCAAGAAAGAAGAATAATTATGGGAAAAGAGAACAAGAGAAAGAAGAAGAAACCTCAGGCACCAAGCTTTCAAAATAACTCTGGAACTCAATTTATTTCATAAATCAGCTCTGCTGAAACATAAAACATAGTATCCTTATTCATAGATATTAAGTCTAGGATTACTAATCCTCACTTGACTAGCAAAGAAACTAAACAGGAATAAACTATTAAAGACCAAGACTCCAAAATCCTAAATAAGAAGACGAGACCTTCAAGTAATTCTCATAATTACTAAAATGCTCCTGATTCACCAGAATATGCAGTAGTTGTTGACTGAAAACACTTTTGCTTGATGAAGAATCAATTAATGTAGCTTTGGGTTTCCAAACTGAAGTGTTTCTCCAAGAATAACATAGCTCCATCACATTTCCTTGTTCAGACAATGA